GTGGGGTGTGGTGTGGCGTGGTGTGTGTGTGCGCACATGAGCATCCATTTGCATGTAGAGGTCAGAAGACAGCTTGCAGGAATCAGTTTGCTCCTTGCACCATGTAGGTTCTGAGGATCAAACTCAGGTCAGACTTGGCAGAAAGCATCCTTCTCCACTAAGCCATTTCACAACCCTTCATCTGTTTTATTTTTTAAAATATATCTTCAAGGAAAACAATAAGACCACTGAGAAGCTATAAAAGTTCAGTGTGTTAACACAAAGATCTATGCTGTCAATTCATGGCTGCACATAATAAGCACTCCCCTGATTATTCCTATAAGCTTTTAGAACAACTGAATTCCTACAAATAAATTATCTTGACTTTCACGAACATCAAAATAGCTGCTTTAGGTAGGTCTACATGGAAACACTAACAATTTAAGATTCAATTGTTAACATAAGCATATCCATTCTACAACAAATAAGGCTACCCAAACAGCATTCTCCATCTGCCAACTGAGACCCATCACACCCATAAAAATCGGCACACAATAATACATTCGCTAGTTTTTGTACAATCATTAAAAGCATCTCCTTATAAAGGCAAACTGAATACAGTTAGTTAATAACATCAACGTGTGGTTTATCCCCTCACTAGTTGCTTTCATGGGAAGACCCAGACAGGGGATCCTTCTGAGTGCTAGGATCACAGGCATGTCCACTTAGCAGAAATATTTTGAATGTTTTATCATTTGTTGCAAATACAAAAGAAGAAAACTTAAAATCAAGAATCTACCAACTACCTTTTATATAAGGACACCAACACAAAGCTGGAAAGGTAGGTCAGTTGTCAAGTTCCTACATAGCATGCACTGGGTCCTGGGCTTAATCCCCAGCAACACAAAACACTGTGTTAGGTTTGTACTAAGCTCCTATCTTATATGAATACATTCTAATCTCTCTCTCTCTCTCTCTCTCTCTCTCTCTCTCTCTCTCTCTCTCTCTCTCTCTCTCCCTCTCTCTGCCAGTCTGTCTGTGCACCTGCATGTGAATGCACCAGCCCTGAATATTCTTTCTAGTCTCTGGCCTCCTTCACCTCTTGTTGCTGTTTTGACACAGGTCCTCTCACTGGCCTGTACCTCTCCGAGGAGACTGTTCTCCCTGGCTCACACACCCCAGTGCTGGGATCACAGACCTGTAGTATCACTCCTGGCTTTTTCACCAGGCTCTGGAACTGAGCTCAGGCCCTCCCTCACATTTGTGCTGCAAGCACTTTTCTAAGTGAGCCATCTCCTCAACCCGGTTCTAACTTTTCAAATACAAATACTGACGAATCTGTACTGCTGTTCATTCCTAATAAATTGAAGTTTTATTTCAACTTTCTCCATTATTGATATTAAATATTTAATAAAATTAGTTTCTTTTCAAATGTATTCTAATGGGAAAGAAAATCAAAATCACAGAATAAATAAATAAATAAATAAATAAATAAATAAATAAATAAATAATTTCTTTACTATGTTTATCCATAATGAATTTCCTTTCAAATTTGGCAATGAGAAGCATATCATTTTATAACTATACAAGCACAATTTAACTGCTTTCCCATTCCCCTTTCTCCAGTACTGGAAACTCAGGATCTCATGAATGCTAGACACTACCACTGAGCTATACTCACAGCCTTTTCAAAATGTTGAGACACGGTCTAGCTAAAATGCCTAGGCATCTACCCTCTACCCTGCTTCTTTCTCTACAGATGAAAAGTCCAAGTCCTTAGTAGGTAGAACTATTTTAAAGACTCTTTAAAATAGTTGGGGGGCACAGACAAACTCTGTGAGTTCGAGACACTTATCTATATACATAGCATGTCTTAGTCAGCCATGGCTACACAGTGAGCCCTGTCTCAAAACAAACCAACAAACAAAAAAAACAAAAAAAACCACATGCCTACTAGCCCATCTTTCTGTCAGAAGGAACTATCCTATTTCATCTGTCTGCTTCTTTTTCCATGTACATTCTGCAAAACAGTTTGCATGCAAGCAGCTTTGGGGAAATAGCAATGCCTCAGCTGGTGCCTTCTACTGGTTATACACAAACCTAACTTGCTAAGTATCAGGCTAAGATTAAGTTAAAGGAGGCCATCATTAATGCAGGTTTTATTCTCTAATCTCAGTACCTAGGAGACTAACACAGAAGGTTTATAAGTTCAAGGCCAGCCTAGACTACATAGCAAGTTCTAGGCTAACCCTAATTAGCTACAAAGCAAGACTCTGTTTCAAAATCACTAAAAAGAAAAACCAAGAAACAGAAATGAAATGTTAGTTTGTAAGTATTCTTATAAAAGCATCTCAAAACCAAAGATCATTTTGGATTGGTCCACACTTAGCATCATCCCTACCTACAGAGAGAGCACTTCCACTAACTTGCATTCCCAGTATCTCATTATAAAAGCTAATTAAATCTAGACTAGGATGTCTTCATGTATTCTAGACACCTAGAAATATCACTCTTCATTCACTTTCACTTAAATCATATTAGGCAACGCACCAAATATGGTTTATTCCTTTGAGTATTTCTATGACTACAGTAACACACAACAAAGTCCAGAG